AGGCATGTCTGCGCTCCTGCCTTGGCTTTAGTGGACACAGAGAGCAGAAATAACCCCTAAACTAGAGGTCTTTGGCCCTGGAGGCTCATTAAAGTCACACTTGACAAAACCTCCTTGTCAGGGTCCTTCCACAGACCAAATAAGCAGGAATTCTTGGGTGGGACCTCCACATCAGAATTGTTCCAAGTTCCCTGGGTAACTCCAATGGCAACCAGGGTTGAAAACCCCTCTTCCAAATTGTCCTTAGTTCTGAAATCAGAAAAAAATCTGCTGATATTTCTGGGGGGTGGGGAGATGCCTGATTTAGTTATTTTCTCTGTCTCTCTGTGCCTCTCTCTCTCTCTCTCTCTCTTTAAATGATCTGGGCATCTGGGACAGCTGGTCCTCAAAGCTACTTTCGATCCATCCTAACTGGGTCTAGACAGCCCTTTCCATTACAGAGTCATCCTGGGGAGCCTCCTTCTTGCTTCCACTAGCAACATGATTCTTTGTAGCTGGGGAACTCATGGGGTGATACTCTCTTGGGGTGGTGGGAAGATGGGCTCCCCCAGGGCAGCCAGTTAGATGGCTCTGTGTGTGTATGTTTCTGTGTGTGTGTGTGTGTGTCTTTGGCCCCTCTCACTCCTTGACCTCTCTAGACTTTGGTAGGCTCTGAGCACAAACCCCTAAAGACCTCATCAATTTACACAGCCCTTATTTGGACCCAGTACTCTATCACCTAGGACAGAGCTGTGATTTGTGTTTGCAAGGAAAGAACAAGGCCAGCTGAGCATTTCGAGGTATCACTGAGGAGACGAGAGGGTGCATGCTGCCCTAAGGTTGCCCACCCTAGAGGACTCAGCCCCAGGCCTGAACTTCCCCAAATGTTGCCTGGCACCTGGCCCACACCCCCTTATCCTTTCGCCCAGGGCAGAGAATTGACTGGTACTAAAGCTCCTGGGGCTGCCTTAGCCTGCCTGAGCCTCAATTTCCCCATTTGTAAAGCGAAGACAGTAATTTTTAACTCTCAGGGTTAAGGTAATCCTGTGGGATTTAACTGCCATGCTCTAGGCAGGAGCTCTGGGAAGACAGGTGGATGTTCAGGGGCCATACCTCAGAAGGGGGAGGTTCAGGCAGGTCCAGAGCTGCTGCTCTCAGACAGCAGGGTGGCAGGTCCTCTGGGTTGTCTCACTCCCCCCGCCGGGCCCCACCTGATGGTGCGCACGTCCCTTAGCCCAGTTCACATCCAGGAGCTGGTGACCTCTGTGCAGGAAGCCCCTGTTCCCAGCAGTGCTGCCCAGACAGTCAATCTCACGGAAACAGCTGCTGCTCCTGCCTGGGCCCCTGCTCCAGCCCTTCTGCGTGGCCTTGCTCCACCCTGTGCACCCCCACACTGGTCCCCACTCTGGCTCTCACGGCAAGGACTCCTACAGGAACCACACCCCACCCAAGGCACCCCACCAAATGCCTTATGAACCTTCACCTCCCTTTTCCATGGCCAGGAGCACCTTCAGGGGTTCCCAGTAGGTCCCTCCCAGGGCCCCCCAAGGTGTGTAGCAGTCCCACAGGGGTACTGCAGCAGGACACACCCTAGATGGTGCAGGACTGCCCCAAGGTCAACCCCAGCCTCTGCCATGGGCCACACACCCTCTGCCAGGAGATGGACACTGCCCAGCTTCCTTGTCTTCCCTTGTGTTACACACACACACACTCACACACTCACATGCACAGTGACATGCAGAGTGACAATCTACACCCAGTGACACCCAGATACTGATCTCCCATGTGTACAAGCGGCTCAGGTGGCAGACTTTTGCACATGCCAACAGGCACTTTCACATACCCTACAACATCTTCCCCCCAAACACACAAACACATACACACACCAACACACATACACATACACCTGTCTCGGGATGAACCTGTGAACAGACATTTATTCCAGAAACCTCTTCCACTACTTGGTGACATATTTGGGAATATACACTCATGCACACCTGTGCAATAGCATGCAACACACTCATTCATGTATGCATGTGTGCGCACGTGCACACACACACATACTTTGCGCACACACTCAGAAGTCCCAGCCCTTCTCACCAGGGATGCACCACAGCAGCAGCTTTCCAACTGGCAACCCCATAATCAATTAACCCTGACCTTCCTCAGAAGGGTTCCTGACTTCCCAGGGGGCAAGGAACCTGCTGAAGTCACACAGCTCACTTTGGCTGGCTTCTAGCTTAGGTCGCCTGCCCGCAGGGCACGTGTGCCCACTGGGCTCAGTCCACAGGTGTGCAAACTGCCGGTGCCTGCAGACCTAATGGGACTGGCCCTTCCCCAGCATGCTTCCAACACCCCCACTGGGAGAGCACTAGGGGCAGAGCAGGGCAGCAGAACCTGGGCACTGTTGGGATCATCCCAAATCGCGGAGTATCTATGTGACAGGTTTCGTCTCAGCATGGCCTGCGTCCTGGGAGGGGCAGCTCCCAGGATCCAGTGACTGGCAGGCTCCTGCCTGGGAACCCCAGGAGGATGCTCGTCCATTAGCCCAGACACCTGGCCGGGAGGATGGGGGGCTGCGGGCAGCTCGGGGAAAGGGGCGAGGCCTACCTCCAGGCTGCGAGGGGTGGATGATGGACAGCAGGAGCAGGAGGACTCCAGGCCACAGGGCTGCAGCTGTCGGACCCGCCATCTCAGGGAGAAATGCCCCAGCCTGCTCTCCGCGCCTCGTTTTATCCCCAAAGCGTAATTGCTGCCTCCTCGGCTGCGGGAAGAAGGGAGGGAGAGAGGGCGGGCAGGAGGGCCTGAGAAG